CGTATGACCCTCACAGTATCGTATACGAGAAGTGTTGACCACGTTGTGGCAACCATTTTTTTAAATGAAACTGGAGCCCGTACTGTCCCATGAGCATTCACGACCCTCTAAACATCAGTGTAGTGTGCGTGGCTGGTAAGAGCATGGTACGCACACCGCTACTATATTTATAAAAGCACGTCGAAGCACCTCGTAACACTTTATTACCCCCCCCCCCATTCGACCTCACTAGTCCCCTCCCCCAAAACAAAAAGAATGAAGCGAGGGAGCTCACCGCGTCGTATGAAGTGGATTTTCAGATTGCGTGGAATTCACCGACTTTTCGTTTCCTCAGTGCTTTCTGTCACCACAGTAATTTACAGAGGCTGCGTAGTATTGAATTTATTAAAATACTATTTGGCGCTTTTTCGTTCATCTAGCAATATTCTGACTACCAGGTGTGCTCATGAACGTACTTATATTACCATGAAAGAGACTATTAGGTAAAACTGTTACGCTGGTAGTTTATTCTTTGTGTACACATGTTCCTCCCCCGTCCACGCTTTGTACGCCAAATATGCGCTGCACACCTCATTTTGTCAGTGCAGGAAGAGATACACGTGAGTGATTGCTTCATCAGCGTCTCGGTCATTCTCAGAGATAAAAAGAATTGGTTAGGTGCTAGGTTTGATAAGCCGTGACCCGAAAGGAGTGGCACCAGTTAGCTGATGAACGAACCAACAAACACAAGCATGTAGCATAATTAGCTGAACTTGGAAGGTTGTTTTTGTTTTGTTAGCGCATCGTTTCCTGAGTGAGCTGATAGTTCGCATTGAAGCAACAAGTCACATTTCTGGAGTTCTACTATGATGATGATATGTGGGGTTTAACATTCCAAAACCACCGTATGATTATGAGAGACGCCGTAGTGGAGGGCTCCGGAAATTTCAACCACCTGGAGTTCTTTAACGTGCACCCGAATCTGAGTTCACGGGCCTACAACATTTCCGACTCCATCGGAAATGCAGCCGCTGCAGCCGGAATTTGATCCCGTGACGTGCGGGTCAGCAGCCGAGTACCTGAACCACTAGACTACCGCGGCGGGGCAGTTTCACTATGAGCTGTGCGCACATCCACACTTAACTTTTGTTTGAAAATCCAGTTTTTATGGTCATAAGTATTCGAAGAACACGCTTGTAACGATCATTGCTAATAACAGGACAACTTTGGCCTCTCTTGTCAAAGGCCAGTGATGTTTAGTCTACAGTTCTCGTTGTGTTTTATGAGCATAAACATGCACACTGTACATTTATTAAGTGTGATAAAGTGGTGTACATAACGTCTGACTCTCCCGGTATCCAGAGTAGATGTAAGCATCCAATATCTACCGGCAAAGTAGCTTGCTTAGATATTATTTCAAAATATTATTGCAAGATAATATTTCGCGTTTGCAAGAACATAGCCCGCCAAGCTACACAGTGTACGCGCCCATATGAATGCTCTTGTTTCTTGTCTACGAGAGAGATAAACTTTGGCCTTTATGGAGTGTAGGGGTCAAAAACTTCACAGCAATCCATTGCGCCACCAGAAAACTGGCTCCATCTCTCGAAGGCCGCGGAAACCATGGCGCTTGTAACTCGTTACTCCACCAAGCCGTGTGCCTGACTGCTTGCGTTTAATGTGTAGTACTGGTTTAGGGACGTTAAACCCCACATATCAACTAATGCGTAGTACTTACCTCTTTTTCTCACATGGAAACCAAGAAAGTGACCATCTCTACCATTTCTTTTGCTTTACAGCAAAAAAAAAAAAAAAAACGAGCCGCAGTGGCTGCCTCGTAAAAAAAAAGCGGTCCTACGATAGCGGTTCCACGAGCGTGTTTTGTGCCCAAACCTATAACCGAGACTTTCCAAACAAGCCACCCGCAGCACTCTCGTTGCGGCCCGCACATGCCTGACTTCATTCCACCTTTTTTATTTTATTGAAAACTATGTTCGTGAACTACGCTAACTTTACTTGTTCAAAGCCTTGCTTAAGAGAGGTCCTCCATGTGAACTTTAAATCCTAACGCATAACCATGAAACAGAAAGTATATTTCAGAATCAGCATCCAGGTATGCTGTCAATTTGGAGATTGAAATTGAAATGCTCTTGCATTCTTAACTTCAAATGTCCTTCAAAAATGATCCATGTATGACCTAGGGGAAAGGTTTTATTTCAAATGGCAACGTTTGCTAACAATTTGTGCATACATACACTCCCCACCACCTTCCACTGTTACGTTCCACATTACGACGGCCCACGAGGGTTTAGAGTGCGTGACTGCAGCCCGCTGGCTGAAGTGAGTTTGCGACCCATGCTCTAACCAAACCAGCTCTTTCGCTACTTTTTATACCCGTTTTCTCTTTCATTTTGAGCCACTTAATTCAACACATCTTCACCTCCTCCTGCTCCACCTCCTCCTCCTCCTTCCACGCGCCGATTTGCGTACTCGCCGTTTCATCCTATTTTGTTTGGGTGAAAGACTGCACAAATCATGCACATACACGACCAGGATTTGAAGACGCGTCAAAGTAGCACCCAATCTCGTTGCCGACAATGTTGGCCTGGCTTAATTGAATAGAAAATGGGCTAAAAAGTCATATTTGACGAAAACACCTAGTTAACAAAAATACACTGCCGATCTTATCCAGCAGAGACGAACTGGAACAATCTGGTGATCTTGCGGTGCCGTGTTACTGAGCGCATGGCTTCCCAGAGCGACTTACCAGACTCCCAAAATACAAAAAAGAACGCATTATTCTTTCCTGATATTTCTCGTACAGAATTCTTGGCACACTATGGAGACGTAGACAGTAGTTCCTGTGACGTCTACAGCATACATGCTCCTGATTCATCGGTATACGCGAAATATCCACTGCGATTTGTCTCATGCACTGCTTTGCCGTGCAGGCGCCCGTTCGTTCTTCTTTGTCTCGCATAAATATTGTGCACAATCAACAGATCAAAATTCATTTTTTATGTTTACAAATGCGCAAGCTGGCGATAACAGTGTGAAGCCGAGAAGCGCGAAATCCTGATAGGCTCTAGCGCTTAGTGCTGATATTGTTCAGGTGCATTCAAGAACTAAGGGGTGGGGAAGATGCACCACGTGTATGAAGGAAAAGATAAAATCACGCTTTCGTGTTTAAATGCGGGATGGTGAGTGGCCCTTTAAAAATTCAGAATGGCGCTCCATGTGCTTCGAACTGGTGGTGTTGAGTGGTCCTGGGAAGTCACTTTCTTTGTGGTGTGATACTCCAATTTTATCAGAGCTCTCCAGAGGGTCTCTGTTGCATATAGGTAGAAATTGTTTTGTAAAATATAGATTGATATGTGGGGTTTAACGTCCCAAAACCACTATATGATTATGAGAGACGCCGTAGTGGAGGACTCCGGAAATCTAGACCACCTGGGGTTCTTTAACGTGCACCCAAATCTGAGCACACGGGCCTACAACATTTCCGCCTCCATCGGAAATGCAGCCACCGAAGCCGGGATTCGAACCCGCGCCCTGCGGGTCAGCAGCCGAGTACCTTAGACACTAGACCACCCCGGCGGGCATGTTGTTTTGTAAAATAACCTTTTTTCTTTGTATACATATATTTTTCACCTACGTCCCATTTCGTTAAGGCTGGACGCCATTGCTGCCGCCAAAAGGGGGCGCCACGTACCGATAGAAAAAAGAAAAATGGTGGTCATGCACGCATTATGGTTGGCAGTTGTAGCCTTGAAGAATACAAGTCCAGTTCACAAGACGCCGTCTCCAGCGACACAACATGTTCAAAAATTTGCCACAATTTGTCATAGTTGCATGGTTTTCATATCGTATGTTTCGTAGCTCCAAAACAGCATAGAGTTTTCTAAAATTAACTAGAGGAGACTCTGCCACTGCGATCGTTCAGCGACCATGGGGATGATGGGTAGTACACACATTTGCCTAGTCTTCGTGCTTGCGGGCGGCGAATCGTACTTGCGGCTTCGTTTATTGCTGGTTGTGGTTTCGTTTTGAAGGAAAGCACAAACCCTTTTGAGCTTCTTCGCCCCATTCAAAATGGTAGGCCTAAGATAATAAGGTGGTAAAGCGCAACCGCTGAACATTTACTGATTTTTGTTTCGTGAGAAAACAGCTCCAAGCCACACGAACACACACGGAGCCAAAAGCAGTCCACAAGTACGAAGATTAGAAAAGTGTGTGTACTACCAATCATTTTCATGCTCGCTGAAGCACCGTGCGATGCAGCTACCACAGACACTAGGCGCCAGAGTTCCCAGTAGTTTATATTGGAAAATTCTATCCAAAACACAACATTAAGCATACGTTGAAGGTAACACTGAGTGTCAAGGCATCAAACAGGATTCAACACGTGAGAGATATTGCTTGCCGGCGTAGAGGGAGAAGGCTTGTCTGCACTATTTAAACGTGTTAAATTTGTTGGAAGCCGCAAGAATTAAGCCACGCCAGCGTGAGAACTGTGCTTCTGTTAATTTCAATTATAGTATTTAGGTTTTGCGACATGCCACTACATCTGATTGGAAATTTCTTAATTAGGCCCAATGTATAGACTATTTCCCATCTGAATGTTGCCGTCTTGGGTGGTTCGATGGTTTCCTGTTTTTGTGTCCGCTATGTGAAATAATGAAGCAATGAAGCACGCTGTGTGCAAAGCCAACCGTTTCCTTGTATATGCACCCACCATAACGCTGATCGTTCAGTTGTTAAAGATAAAAAGCACAAAATCTAACAGCGTGCGGTGGCACTCAAAACCCCCCATAACGTAGTCGATAAGTAGGCATTGAAAATACTTGAGGCTCAGCACAGACAATCACTTGGCCACTGAACTATTCTTGCCACATCTACCAGAAGATTGAATGGCTTTTCGACAGTGGAACTTAATATGCGAAATATAAAGCTATTTTTTGCTGAAAAACATGGAAGTTCGAAATGGATACAAACACCAGAAAAGCAACAGCAATATGACGAAGGTTTTATTTACAAATTTGAAAGTTAGGCAACGCTGTACACATGGAAACCACGAAAAAGGGGAGGGAGCATAATTATTGCTGAAATGTGTGTTTCGCTTTGCTTAGGAGAGCGGGGTTTCATACATCTATTTAGTAATCATGTCATGATACATAACCAAAATCACTATCCGTTTCGCAAACGCGCATATCTACTACAGTAAAAATACTGGAAGAAAGTTTTATGGAAATAGCACCCAACTGCGACTTTATGAGAGTGCCTGTTTGTGCTGGGCTCATTTCGAGAGATGCACAAGATGGGGACATATGTACAAAAGGGAAAGGCTGTGGGGTTACCCAAATCGAAACACTTGGCTTGCTGTCCTGCAAACAGCAAAAGAGGATGCCCAAAGGAGCATCGAATGAAGGGAAATAGAAGAAAGCAGGGAAGTACAAAACAAAGAGAAGAAATGAAAACAACAGCCGAGATGAAGAATGGGAGCTATGTATTTTAACAATACTGTGCAGAAATTTAATACATTCATATTGTTTCCCGCAATACTAAAGTAAATTAACCGCGACACATATTTGATACGTTTTTTTTTTCTGATTATGTTGTGGTAAGAAGTTGTAGACTGATATCCAAATGAAAGGTACTTGCGTAATGAATATTGCACTTCTCACGGTTTTTAATTTAGGTAAGAGGAAAAGTCAAAGAGAAACAAACAGTTCAGTGCAAGTTGGCAAAATGTGTGGCGTTGTTATTGCTTAGCCAACAGCATGCCCTATCATCTGGATGATTCAGACATTTTCGATACTTCAAAGCAAAGTGCGGTTGATGTCGGCATTTGGCGTTCACAATGATTACTCTGCTTATTTATTTTTTGCAGCAAAATCCTATACCACACTAATTGTATACTACCGATCTAATGTGTCTGAAGACGCTAAAATATGCAAAATATGTTGCTTAGATCCCTATAACAGTGCATGGTGTTTCTATAAGAGTTATGCAAGAAGCATAACAATGATTTCCACTTACGTATTTACAGCATTCATTTCTATGCGCTTTCAGTATACAGCTACTGATAGGTTGAAGTGGCATACTTTGAAATAGCGGGTGATGTTAAAAGGAGTCTGAAAAATGACAGGCGTCGATGCGCTGAGTATTCAGATGCTTCAGTGCAATGAATAATGTACATATGACGATAAAGTCAGGCTTAGGATCCTCAGCCTGGACGCACTTGATGTTGACGTTGAAGGGCTGTCTTCGAGCAGTTGAGGGATGTTACCCAACAAGATCAGTAGTAGCCGCCGCCATAGTGTCCTCCGCTATAGTGTTCATAGTGGCCCCCACCGTAGTGTCCTCCGCCGTAGTGCCCTCCACCGTGATGGTCGTCATCTATGACGACCACTTTGCTTCTCGAGTCATCGTGCTTGTGATCGTAGTTGACATGCTCGTGCTTACCGCCGTGCTTCACGTGCTCATGCGTATGAACTCTGCAAAAAATAAAAGAGAATTGATTTTCATGTGATTCCTGTCTGATGAACTTTGAATTCTCGTCGCTCTGTGGCGGGTTGTGCAGTGGTATTGACTATGTTCCCCATTAGTAGCACAATTGTTTCAACCTATATAGTATTCTCTGCTATAAAATAAAACTACCTTAATCAACATTTCATGAAGGTGAAATCCTGGGTGTACTGCTGTGCATCATCTCTAAAGGAAACTTCTCCTATTCACCTTCAAAGTCAAAACAAGGAAAGCTAGAATACATGCACATTGGCTAGGATAACTAAACATGCTGAGAAACGTACCGCTAACAATCTTTCAACCAGAAAAGCAGCATCTACTGTAACGAAACAATAACTAAAACATCCACATTTGTCGTCTTCAAGTGCAGCGCAAACTTATATAGTGAAAAAAACTATGTTCTCCTTTAGCCGCTGCCGGGCAGCAAATAGCTTCCGAAGCCATCTGTTGCTCGGTAGTCGCTAAAGGAGAACAGAAGCCAAAGCACATCACAAGAAAAATTCCAGGTTTCGTAAGCGAAACTCGGAAATGGTGAATGCACATACGCATTTAGCATCGCTAGCTCAATAAATATTTCTGAAGGATATGTTTGAATAACCAACTTTTCCTAGGGCATTTCGTTATTCTTACCGTTTTAAATTATAAAAGATCATACAAGCTTCTATCCTCGCTGCTGCAATACGTTATTATATATTCATGTACGGTGTCCAAACTTTCTCGTGAAACTGCCTCCAAGAATTCATACCAGAGGCGCACACATCCTCTTTGTCGAGTGACTGCAAAGACCTTACCACTGTACAGTGCATCGTTAAGTGGCTATTAGACGGGGCACAGACATGAGACACCATACCTGGCCCCATACTTCGCAAAATTTATGCCTGTCATGCCCCACAGAGGGCTGAATGAAACTCAACCACAATCTTTTCCCTGCCGCCCTCCCTCGTTCAATCTACTACAGAGCCTATTGAACCGAAGTTCTGGCTGCTCCACCGTTTCCAGTATATGGGTAGGGCGAAGACGAGAAGAACATAGTAGCTTACGGCACAGGCACGGGGTACGGCATGTTGAATGGCACTAGCTTGGTGTGCTGCACCTTCTTTTGCAGCGGCACTGGAATAGGGATGAAAGTTGTTCCTCCAGACATCAGCAGCGCCAGCTTGAGAAGCTTCTTCTCTGAGCTAGGGGCCACTAAGAGCACTGTGACTAGCAACGCCAGCAAAGATGGTCCTGTTCGCCTGCAGGCCATGACTTGTTGTTGTGTGTCCCTGACCGCGTACAAGGTCTCTAGGGAAGGAGGACGGGAGTTTTATAGGCGGCGGAGACGCCCTTCCGCACAAAGACCAGTGGCCGACTTCCTCGCGTCGGTCGCTGGAGCGCGACGCGCGGTGTGCACCCATCCAGGGAGCGAGTCTGCGAGAACCGAAACATCCATGAAACACTCGGGAAAACAAAGCGCATGCACCAAGTCGAGAACGATGATGCGGAGGAAGCAGGAACACACGCCACGGCTGGGTCGTTCCGCCGGAGAAGAAAGCTTGCTCTTCGGAGTACTCTCCTGCCTGTCACGGGCGTAGAGCGCACGGCCAACAACAGGTAAATATATGAGGAGGAAGAGACGAAGAAACTGAGAGTGCCTCGAAAAAGAAAGTAGCGACGTGTTTGGGTGAACGCATTTTTACGCCGCTGTTAGGAAAAAAAGCCTGTATTGCCCCAGAGTTGATTGGATACTAACATGAACTAGACACGTTATTTAAATAGCTCTCTCGTTACTATAACTACGAAGCGATCTTTCTCGTGTGTGAAACAAGGTACCGCGTGACTGAAGAAGTAGAACGAGCGTTAACGAGCTCTTGGTCAGTCTTCGCTAAGAGAGAAAGGGTACTGTAGAGAAATCAAGGTTTTCTCTGATTGTGAAGAATTCGTCACTCTGAAATACCTGGCTGCATTGCAAATACGAGTACGCTGCAAGAAAATATACAGGGCGCCTTAGGTATCCTAAGCGAGAGTTTAAAAATATGCCGACGCATGCAATTACGACGCGACCAAATAAATGCATGTTGCTGACCGGTGTATGAAGTGAGTCAGATTATCTTTTTTGTGTTTTGATCAATTCTTTATTACATCCTTTTAACTAACTAGTTTTTTAAGGAACGAAGATGGTTCAAAACTTTCTATCAGAAAGTTGTACATTGGTTCGTATAATGTCTGTATAAACAGTTTCATACTTGCTATCTGGTAATTATTAGAGTTTTTCTGCTAACTACAAATGCCCACAAAATATCATGACAACATTACACTGTAAAACATGAAGAGTTAAGTGCGACCGGAAAGTTTCCGTAGGTACAGCAGGGGTGACACCCACAACCTCAGTCTATGGCACAACAACGAACTAAGCAATAATAGAAAACTCAGAGACAGCGCTAATCTCCCATAAGTTGTCCGAGAAGACCATTAGGTGGTTACAATGCCTCACTCTGACATGCACCATGCGCATCTTCTTCCGTGAGCTCTACTAGGCAGGCAAAACTGTGCTGTGCGACACTGCTGGATGCTATTAATTCTGCACTTCTACTCGGCATTAACTGTGGTGTCACACGCATACAACCATCACAAAATATTAAGACGTTGGCCACAAAGTTTCGCAGTTCTCGTAAGAAACTATACCTATGCAAACTTTCAGACTGATAAACACAGTATCGTAGTGCTTTGGCCACCGGAAGCTTTATTTGACCCTTCGGTAAATTTCTGTTCGTTTGAGCTGATGTGGAGCGGAATCTGACTCGTTGCACATTCTGAAACGTTATTTGTGTCATGCGCGAGCAGCGTTTCAGATTAAGCAATTTCAATACACGCGAAGGAATGTACCTGTGCAACTACAAAGTCACAGGAAACTTGTCTATTGTCATGCTGGCATCATCCAGTTATTCAGCTTTCTTATTCGAGAAGGCTGCACAGCTTTCCGTGTACAGTGACGTCATCTGTGTAGCAGAAGCACTTTAACCTCTCAGTTCAAGAGAACGGGCTGCAGCACATAAATTGCAGAAACATCGCATGCTAAGTGATCCCTGAAGTGGTGAGTTCCAATAGTCTGTACGGAAACGTCTTGCTACGACGCAGTAAGTTGTTATTCTCCACGTTTACTTAAGCGAAGAGCCACTTTGAGAATGCTGAGGCGACAGCGGCTCGATGTATTCGCACTGAGGAATTCCCATTATGAGAGTCTGCCCTACAGTATTCGGTTATACTTGGGTAAAATAACAGAGATAAGTCACACTCCTCTAAACCCCGTGGCTGGTTTCACCACACTAGTTATGAAAAACATGATATATCGCTGCTATGAGCACTCATAATCTTGTGACAAATGACAACAGTCCAGCTCATCTCAGTTCTGGTCGAAAAACTTAAAAAAAGCAACATAACCAGGAACTTCCCAGGAATAACGACATCGATTGCTCGTGCAGCCCACGAGTGTGCAAGACGGCAAGTTAAAGCAGCTGGCTAAAAAAAACTCAATTTTTCACCCTGCACTGCGTCCTATTCACGAATAAAAGTGGAGTGCTCCAGCGGAAGTACAGAAAGCTCAGTTGCATGAAACACCGGCAGATGACGTTGTACTGTGCGGATGTTGGATAACTGCAGTGTATTGACATATCAAGGAAAACCTAGTAGTGCAGGTGGCTCGTTGGGCCACATATGAAAGACACGAAAGCAAGGAAGACACCTAAGTTAGCTGCACGTGGAAAAAAAAAGTATCCTTAAACTACAGCTTTAAGCATTGAGCGTGATTCCGATATCCGTTCGCCCGTACGTACCCCAGCCACTTAGTGTCTAGTTTTAATTGTATGCTGTTACTCAAGAAATTTAAGTTGTGGATTACTACAACGTACTTTTACTACAATGTATGCACTCTATAAAGTTAAAAGCGCTTTTTTCAGTCAAGCTTTCTCAAATGGCAGCATTCTGTGTATGGGGTAGCATGCTTTAAGCATGAGCAATTATGGTCTTAAGTAAATACGTGCAGCCCGAATAACTCTGACGAGCAGCATTGCGTGTGCCTTTTGTAATGAGTGGCCGGATTTAAAGCAGGAAGCCGTTATGATCATAAAATGCCCTCACACCCGATGGCAATAAACGCTTGTACCACGCAATATTACTGCACGATTACCTGTTGTATCATAAATTGTGTACACAAGATGAGTACGTTTCTGAATCAAGAATGTTATTTCACTTCTTTTCCATGCAGAGGCAGTCAAAATTATCCCAAAAATCTCAATGTATCCCAAATGTACTAAGTGGAAAAAAAAGAAACAAGTGCATTATTGTTATTGATAACCGGTACGTTTCATAACAATCATTTTGTGTTTCACAACGACATTCTTGTGAAAACCTTTCTCAAAACAGTTCAGTTCCTTTGACGTTTCATTGAGTTTTAATGTTTTGTATTGCCACTTAAAATGGCGCAATTATTTTTACAAACTCTTTGTAGTGTGAACACTTTTTTATGTGGTGTGGACACATTTTTGTGTATTGTGGACACATCTCAGTATTAACAAACGTGGACTCATTGCGTGAGTGTTGTGTAATGTACATAAGTATACCCTTGTGTTTGCTACAAAATATGCGATGTCGGCTTTCGTGCAAGAGAAGAGGTTGGTGCCACGCATGGGCACTAACCTCCCCTTATACACAGTTATTAAAAAGTTAATAAATAAAGCACAGCCGATGTTTATCTCATAAGAATCGGTATAACACAAAAGGTAAACGTACCTTGATGGAGGTACTTCAGCATCTACTGGGCATTCTCTTTCCACAAAGGCGAAACACTGAATTCTACAGCAACCAACTGAGATGTCACTCAAAGAACAGCAAGCAGCTCGAACCATACAGCGCAGTGCTCAAGCAGGAAGCAAGATGGACGTACAAATAGAACATACACGAGGTGAGCACTACCAAACAACTGTCATAGCTGCACACCTAGACTGCTGTTCACGCACAAAAGTGAACACACGAAATTAACGCACAGGCGTACACGGGTCAAGCGCGAAGCGCGCTTGTCCCGTGTATGCTTGTGCGCTTGTGTCCGTGTATGCTTGTATGCTTCAGTCCCGTGTAAGCGCGCGCGCATCGTTACGCCGCGAGTGGTGACGACCTTCAAAGCGTGACCATCACCCCATTACCGTATATAGTAATAACGACAACACACTAAGGGCCTCTACGCTTTACTGCGAGCGGTAAATGCGTATATCCAGGCTTCTCAATGTGGGTACCATAGAACCTAAGGTTTCCGCGAGCCACTGATAAAATTTCCCTCATTCCGCACTCGCCCACTAGATCGCGATCCCGCGATGTGATCAATCTTGGGAACCTCCATTTTTCACGCCCGAACGTCACTAAGCAAGCATCAGGGCTGTTAATCTTGTGAAACCTGAAATGAAAAAAGCCCACCAAGGGAGAGGAAGGGAGGTTTCTTGGCACTTAAATAGCTTAGCAGGATTCGCTGGCACCAACTTGCTTGAGTGCCCCTCGTGTATATAAACAGCTTATTGTCAGAATGAATGATCTAAGTTAACGCTGAAGGTCTCGTTCGCTTTGTGAGACGCAACATAATGCTGAAGTATGCGGAACAACGTATGATCCGTGGCCGAATCGTTTCAGGCTGTAGAACGAAGGGCCATATGTTTGATTTTTGGGGACAAGACTCTTTCTTGTAGCTATTTTTATTTGCCATATGTTAGCGTGTGATTTATAGTGCCATATACGCGATAGAAATGCGTCAGTGGAACTACGGTTCACCTCGGCGTAAAAAAAACTGTTGTGTTAAAATGAAGGTATAGCTTTGCGTAGCCAAATTACATAGTTGTAGTTATACCTGAAACAGAAATAAAGAAATATTGGCCTCTCGTGGTAGCAATATAACGTACGATGAATAAATGACGTACGTTTTCTCAGTAGCCGTAGAAATACGCCTATGAAAATATAGACACATACATGACGGCGCAGATTCAATGGACCTTGCGGGCGACAATCAAGTAAAGCGAATCCTTTCAGGAGGAGGGCAAGGTAGAGAAAAACTGATGTGTTGAGCCTTCGTATAATTGCTTTACGACTGGATGGGCGATGAAATATGAAATATTTCTGGTGGCTTTGCCCACCGTGCCTATCTATGGGGCCGACCTGGATGGATCCGAGTTTGTACAAGCACAACAAAGTTGCGTTAGTTGACAAACATAAGTGTAAGCTAGACAGGTAACCCGATAATCAGAAAATAAACACTCATGTATCAGTACTTAGTAGTATTTGAAAAAAGTGTTCGATAGAGCAATCTCCTATGACAATGAATGAACAGCAAAAAGAAATCCTGCATAATGAATGAAGAAAGGCAACTTTGACCATTGGGAAAGTACTAATGAGCGCA